GGGCCTGAGTCCCGTTTCCGGCACCCACACTGTCGGCTCCTAACCACTGGTGACTCTTAGCACCAGGTATAGTGGGTAGCTGTTCCAGCTTTGACCTTAAAGCACTGTCCCTAGTGAGGCAGCAGGTAACTGCCACACCTGCCTATGACCTGTCCCTGGGGCGTGGCCGAGATGGGGACTGTTAGTTATTTTGTATTGCTCTTACTCTATGAGGAAATGTCACAAAACAGTGGACAGAATCCACTAACAAGAGTTTTATTAAGATAATAGAGACAGACAAGTGCTCAGGCCTGTGGAAGAGACATGTGTGTGGAGAAGAAAAAGAAGAAGAAGAAGGAGAAGGAGAAGGAGAAGGAGGAGAAGAAGGAGAAGAAGGAAGCCAAGAATATGGCGCCGGCTTAGAAAGGCTTGTTGGCGCATGCGTTCAAAGGTCCATGTGGCTACTCCACGCATGCGCGTAGATCACATGGTTGCATTGCACGCTCTTACGCAACCGTGCAAAGCCACGGGGTGCTGTGACAGGAGATGCCTTGACCCAGAAATGGCTATTTTGACCTGGAACTTGCTAAGCGGAAGTGTCTACGTCCGCTGGACTTGCACAACCATGGGGGCGTATTGTGAATCTATCAGGGACCCCTTAAGACCCGGGATGCCTACATGCTGGTTCTCTCTTGGCTCCCTCCTGATCCCGGATGCTGGATGCTAGATTGCAGACCAAGTCAGAGTTCTCCAGAGAACCACGTGGGACTGCACCTCACCTCTCCCGGATCCTGTAACCATAGGTCCATTTGCTGTCTGTAAGTCACACCAAAAGAAACCTCTCTATCAGATAAGCTACATGGAATTGCCTCATCAATTGCCGCTTTTACCAGGGGCTCTGATGCCTCTGGCCCCCATAGGCACCAGCATTCACTTTCACATATTTGCACACATTACACACTTAATTTTAATAAGTCAATAATAAAAATAAATATTAAATAAGATAAATTGGGGGTTAGAGAGACAGCTCATTGGTTAAAAGTATTTCCTACAAAGGAAGAACCTGTGTTCCGTTCTCAGCATCCATGTCCAGGAGTTCACAAGTACCTAAAACCCCAGCTTCAGGGAAGCCAACAGTTCTGGCCTCCAAGGGCACCTGCACTCAGGTGCACACAGCCACGTGCAGACACAGAAAAGATGTCATTAGGGACCTAAGAGCAATGTGGGGACTCTTAGGGGGAAGGTGGGTAATCATAGAACATTCCTGCAGTATGTTCTGACTAATGGCATTTTTTCTTTTTTTAGAACATATTTAAGCTACCTTTTAAGATTATTTGTAAAAAAAAAAAAAAAAGATTTATTTTATTAGTGTCCAGTGAGACTGTTGAACTGGGAGAACAGAAAATGATGGTGATAATGATGATCATGACAAGGTGACGTTGAGGAGAATCAGGATGATGGTGTTGATGATGAGAGTGAGGAGGATGATGATGACAATGACAATGACGATGATCATGTTGATGATAAACCAAAAAGGGAGGGTACAGTTGAAAACCAGTTCATTGTAATCTCAGATTTTATTTAACTATCTGTTTTTCTTTTGTACATATGGGTGTTTTGCCTGCATGTGTGTCTGTGTAATACACGTGATTGCAGAGTCCATAAGGGCCCAAAGGTGCCTGATCCCTTTGAAATGGAGTTACAGGTGGTTGTGAGCCACCATGTAGGTGTGGGTCCTCTGGAAGAGCAGCAGGTGTTCTTAACCACTGAGCCATCTCTCCAGCTCCTGTATCTCTGAGATTTGTAATGGTCTTCAAAGTCTTTTTACGTGTATGGGGGTTTTGCCCATGTGTATATCTGTGCACCACATGCGTGCCCTGTGCTCCAGATCAGAAGAGGGTGTCAGAACCCCTAGGACTGGAGTTACAGTGGGTTGTCAACAACTAAGTGGGTGCTGATAATTGAACCTGGATCCTCTGGAAGAGCAGCCAGTGCTCTTAACCACAGAGCCACCTCTCCAGCTCCTGTATCTCTGAGACTTTTAAAAAGGACAGTGCATGAGAAAGACAAAAAAGAAGAGACAGACAGGAACAGAGAGACACAGAGCCCAGGTCACAAAAGAATGTTGTCAGGAAAGGAAGGGTAGCCGTATTGCAGTAAGAACTTCTCAGCAGTTGGCCGATTACTGCCCATTGGTGCTGTGTCTAGTGTTGTTTTTCCTCTTTTGGGGGGCCTGACATCCAGCTCCCAAATAAAACACAGAGTCTTATTATCCCACTAATCTTTTACCTCTGGGCATTTATCTTCCTCTATTCCTGTATATATTTTTTTCTTATTCGTTTGCTTGCTGTGTAGCTGGGTGGCTGGACCCTGGAGTCCTCCTCCTTCTCTGGCTACTTCTTTTTCCTCACAGTTTTCTCCTTCTATATATTCTCTCTGCCTGCCAGGCCTGCCTATCCTTTCTCCTGCCTTGCTATTGGTCATTCAGTTCTTTATTAGACCATCAGGTGTTTTAGACAGGCACAGTGACACAGCTTCACAGAGTTAAACAAATGCAATATAAACAAATGTCACATATCGGGGACTATGGGGGTCCAGCCCCTCGATAGTCCCCTCCTAGGGTCCAGGAAGAATCTACAACCAGGTGATAATTAATCTTTGATAAAAAGAAATCTATGTACACGAAACTCCTTAGTTCATACACTTTATCATTCTGTGATAGTTCTCTCTCTACACGGCTTCTATTCTGCTCTCATGTCTAGCTTCTTTCTTGCCTGATTTCTCTATATTTATCTACTGTCCCCTCTAGGTTCTATCTTAATTCCTTCATCTAGTTCTGTCCCTTCTAGGTTCTCATCCATCTAGTTCTTTCCCCTATCAGCTCCTCTCCCGTCTCCTTCTCTCTCATCTGGGTCTTCCTCATCTTGTTCTTTTCCATCTGGCTCTTCCTCATCTCCCATCTTGTTCCTCTAGTCCTCTCTTCTAGCCCTTCAATCTAGTTCTTCTGCATCTCAGTTTGTTCCTCTCAAGTTCTTACCTGTCTAGTTCTTCCATTCTCTTTTCTCTTCTCCATGCTGTTCTCTGTCTACAGAAAATACCTGCCTTCTTTCCTTGGGCATGTGGTTCCCTGCCTCCTCAGGAAAGTTGTTTCATCTCTCACCTTGATATGTAAAAACCTCTTTTGTTCTCAAAGTGCTCTGGAGAACCACTAGGCTTCTTCAAGGCCAGGGAATGGTCTGAGCTTCATTAGCACAGGAAACAAAGCTAGGCTTTTCCTGCCAGCTTGTCAGGTAGCTGAACTGTTACCAATTGGTCTGGGTACACAAGGATTTCATAGCAGAAGACAGCTGAAATATTAAGGCTGGGTAACACTAAATATTCATAATAAATGGCTAGCCTTTTGACAGACCCTTGGCCGGTCAAAGTTCAGCTTTAATAGACAGCTGAATCTCTATGATATATTCTTGCATCCCGCAAGAATAACACACCTTAAAATAATACTCTTCAACAATCTAGAATTGACAACTCTTAGCATTTTTGTTCCCAAACCCTTGGAAAACAGGAAGCCATTGCTAACATGAGTGAATCCTGGTGATGTTTCCACCTTCTCTTAAAGCTTTGCTCACCCTAGATTGATGACTGATTTAGCATCAACCTATCTTTTATAAAAACAAAGGAGGGTCGGCAGGATATCTCAGAGGGTAAAGGCGCCTGCTGCCAAGTCTGATGAGCTGAGTTCCATCCTGGGAACACACCAGGTGTCAGGAGAGAACCAAGACCTACAAATTGTCCTTTGGCCCCCACATACACCCATACATCAATGATGTACACAAATATGAAATACTTTTTAAGGAAACCAGAACAGAGTGGTTGTGTATCTTGCAGGTTTGGGAAACATTTTTTTTGTTTTGGAAAGGTATCTTATTGTCTAAGTCATTGATTCAATATTAGACAACAATGAAGTGTGGGCATAGTTTGGAAGCTGTATGGTGTTAGTCAAGCCATACCCAAAACTCTGAGTCCTGACACATTATTTTGAATTTAGAGTAAACAGACTTGCTTAACATTTAAGGACAATTTGAGTGGAGCAGGTTTGAAAGTGACCCTCCTTAAATATGTGAGGAGGGGCTGGAGAGATGGCTCAGTGGTTAAGAGCACTGGCTGCTCTTGCAGAGGACCCGGGTGGGTTTGATCCCAGCACCCACATAAGAGCTCCCAACACTCAGTAACTCCAGTCTCAGGAGATGCAGCACTCTTTTCTGAGCCCCTCAGGTACCAGCCACACATCTTGTGCAGGGGAGGCACCCATAAATATTTAAAGACCTGTAAGAAGGCAGGCAGTGTTGGCCAACGCCTTTAATCCCAGCATTTGGGAGACAGAGAAGGTTGGGCATCTGAGTTTGAGGTCAGCCTGGTCTACAATGTGAGTTCCAGGACAGACAGGGCTGTTGCACAGAGAAACCCTGTCTGGAAAAATACAAAAAAAAATATAATAATGGTAATGGGGAAATACACGCAACTATAAAAGTTTTGTTCATGGCCAAGTAACAAGTAATTTATTGGAAAAATCACATTTTACAGTGTTATGAGGAGACAAACCTCACTCCCATTTTGTGACTCAATATTGACAACTTGAGAATAACAGCACCAAGTAAAAACAAAATATAATGAAAGCCTGCCAAGGAGGGACATCTCAGCACTCTTTCCAGAGGTATGAGTTTAGTCACAAATTCATGGCCAATCTGGGCTACATAGGTAAGGAGATCTCTTGACTTTCAAGCTACCCTGGTCTACATAATAAGTTATAGGTCAAGCAGATACATAATGAGAGCCTATCTAAAAAAAAAAAAACCCACAAAAAAAACAACCAAACAAACTCACACAGTGGGGCATAGTGAAACAGAACTGTCCTCAGACCTTCAAGGGATGAGACATATCTTTAAGTGCTCCCAGGGTGTTGCCATGAAACAAGGGTAACCTAGCAACAGTCTCTAGGAAAAGACTTCAATCTGGATACAGACTCAAAAGGATGCCATTCTTGAATGGATTTTCATGTGTTGTTTCAGAGTCCCCTGCTGTCTGAAGGCCTTGTCACACTCCTTACATCTGTGAGGTCTTGAGTCGCTGTGGATGCTGAGATGGACATTGAGGTTGCCCTTGTGGTTGAAGCATTTCCCACAGTGCTCACACTCATAAGGCTTCTCCTTTGTGTGGATCCTAAGGTGACCCAGAAGGGTGGACTTGTGGGCAAACCTCTTGCTGCAGATGCTGCACACATAAGGCTTTTCACCCCTGTGGATGCGCTTGTGGACCCGAAGGTCTGAGGATTGCACAAACCCCTTGCTGCACACACTGCACTCAAAGGGTCTCTCTCCTGTGTGTGACCTCTGGTGGAGGATGAACTGAGACCTGTACAGGAAGCTCTTCTTGCATTCACTGCACACAAACTGAGCCTGGCCGGGGAGTCGATCAACAGGCTCCACAGGTCGTAGGGTAGGAAGCCCTAGCTGCCCATTTTCTGTCCTGTCCACACAGTGGGGGCCCTCCTTGACAAGGGGGAACCTTGTCTCCATTGGAACCAGAGAGACTCTGAAGATCTGTGTGTGCAGCTAAATTTCTTCTTTCCAGAACGTGGGTGAACGGTGTGACAGCATCTTTTGTGTCTTCCTGGGGCATCTTCACATCCTTTCCTCTGACAGAATCTGATGGAAGAATGTCCATGTACAACATTTAAAACATGAGAGTCCCTCTCAAGGATGGATTGCATTTATTTACTTGATTAAGGAGGGGAGTGGCACCCTATGAATGTGGAGGTCAGAGGACAACTTTTGGGTTGGTTCTGTCCTGTAACCAACCATGAGGGTCCTGAGATGGATCACAGGCAGTCAGCTGGAGGGCCAGTGCCTTTCCCCACTAAGACAACAACACTGGGTTTGGGATTTAGCTAAGTGGTAGTGCGCTTGCCTAGCAAGTGCAGGGCCCTCGGTTTGGTCCTCAGTGCCAGGGGTGTAAGGGACACACAACACTTATTAAAGATCATCCCAATCATACCAGACTCATTAGATCTAAACTCTGGTGTTGGATGGGGACATCCCATCAACATCCCAAGCCTGAGAGCTTAGCCTGTAGAATGCTCTGGAAGGCTAGTGACAGAGGGGGTAGGAGTGGGTGGTCAGCTTCCTCCCACCAGGAGAGTGTGCTGGGCAAGGGGTAGTAAGTCCCCAGTCAGTTCCCACCTCAAAGTGAACAAAACCGTGTGTGGGCTGAGGGTCCTGAGGTGTCAACACAGAGGCCTCCTCCCTGTCCTGTGCTGAATCACTCCCCAGGCTCTGCTCAGGTCTTGGGTCATCCTGTTCTCTGCTCTCAGGAACTGTTTCTAGCAAAACTTCCTCTATTTTGACAGGGGACAGTGAAGAATTATGGGTATGTGTTCGTTCAATGGAGAGGTGGATAATAGACATCTGTCTCTACTTCATTTGGCCCACTCACTTTCTCCCCGAGTTGTAGGAATGTTCACACTTCCATGACCTACTCCCATACCCCACATAAACCAATGCTCTCCTCTGACTTGTAAGTCTGTCATGAACGAGAAGCCACCACATCTCTGCACCTCATACTGGTTGCTATTTTAATCCTCTATGCACGATCTTCTCTGCCCTCGAATCTAAAAGCAAAATGCCTCTCAACCTTGGTGCTATTAAGATTTGGGCTAATGAGGTTAGAGGAGGGACAGCTCAGAGGTTAAGAACAGCAGCTGCTTTTGCAGAGGACCTGGGTTTGAGTCTCAGCACCCACAAGGAGGCTCACAGCCATCGGTAACCCCAGTTCCTCAGGTGATGATGGGGAGGGATATGATGCCTTTTTACTTCTGCAGGCACCAGGCACACATGTGGGGTCAGATACACACACAAGCAAAATACCCACACTATAAAAACAGGACAACTGTAAAATAAATGGGAGTTGAATGATTATTTCTGATGGGGGGAGGGTCTCCTCTGCTATATATTGTGGACTTCCAAGTGACAGCGACTGCATACTGTTAAAACTCTTAGCAGCCAGGTGTGATGTTGAACACTTTTCATCCCAGGGCTTGTGAGGGAGAGGCAGGCAGATGTGTGAGTTGGAGGCCAGCCTGGTCTACACAGTTCTGGGACATCCAGGGCTATTTAGAGACACCCTGTCTAAAGATCATATGATCTGGTAAGATTCTCAGATGCAGAGTTGGGGAGGCCGAGAACAGGGCAGAGTGTTTCAGAGAGGACGCCCCTGTAGTCATGAGCTCACACAGCTGGAGCTGCCTGCACATGCCTTCACAGTATCTCTGCAGACATCATTCCAGCCTGGAGGGAGAGGCCATCGGGAGTCGCCACCCTAACCAAGGAGCTATGCAGAGTGGATGGCTTCTGGGGAGGTGGACGCTACTCTGGTGAGAGCCTCCACACCGAGGAACCATATGGATCATACAAACTAGATTTAGGGGTGGTATTGTTATTGTTATTATTATTACTGTTGTTGTTATTATTATTTTTATCGAGACAGGGTTTCTCTGTGTAGCTTTGCGCCTTTACTTGAACTCACTCGGTAGCCCAGGCTGGCCTTGAACACACAGAGACCCACCTGCCTCCGCCTCCCCAGTGCTGGGATTAAAGGCATGCACCACCACTGCCAGGCAGTATTATTTTTAATAGGAACAGAAGTTTGGAGACTGGGGACCTGCTATGGGTCTGGGAGAGGTTAGAGGGAAGAGTGGACAGTGAAGAGAAACTTCCTTACAGCTTCTGGCCTCACTCTGGACCTGAGAGACTCTGCAGGAGGACGGACCCCCTTCCTTCCCCTCACTGTGGCTTCCTCAGCTCACACCCAGTCAGACGTGGTTATCCAACTAGGTTTTTTCTCTTTGCTTCTTCACTGGTATATGGTACTAGGGCTTTGTGCAGGCAAGCACTCTGTGGCAGAGCCACAAGCCCTCTCCTCACTGGTAGATTCTAGGCCTGTGTTCTACCTCTGGCCTCTCTGTCGGCCCTTTAAAATATTTTCAGTTTGAAAAAGGTCTTGCCTATTTGCCCAGGCTGTCCCTGATCAAAATGGTGTGTAACCAAGACTAGCCTGACACCTGATACCTTAGCCTTCGGAATGCCTTCCAGTTTAGGATAACACTGTGTTTTATCAGTTTTATTTTTATGCTGGTCTCACACATTTATTGTTGGAGAGAAAGTCTTACTATGAATCCTTAGCTGGCCTTGAACTCAGAGGCACTGCCAGATTCTGCCTCCTGAGAGCTAGGACTAAAGGCTTGCAGCAATCTACCTGATCCTTCCTTCACACTTTCCTTTAAAAGAGTATTTATTTACTTATTTATCTATTTATTTTATATCCCTACTAGAGTTTCCCCCCACCTGCTCTCCTACCTCCCCCGACTCCTTCTCCCCTTTATTAAGAAAGGGCAGACCTCCCATGGATATAGACAAAGAATGCAATATCACCTTGACTGAGCCCCTCCCCATGTATTCAGGCTGGCTAGGCAACCTAGTAGGAGGAATAGCATCCCAAATGTCAGTAAAAGTCAGAGACAGCCCCTGCTCCCACTGCACAGAGTCCCACAAGAAGACCAAGCTACATAACTGTCACACATATGCAGAGAGCCTAAGCAGTCCCATGAAGCTTGCAGCCAACATGACTGAAAAAAAATGTCAATGCAATCATGCCTAACGATATTCTGCTATACTCTTAGGTTGATAGCTGTCCCAAGTGTCATCAGAGAGGCTTTCTCCATACTCAATGCTAAGCTTTAATGCAGACAGGCAGATGGACCTTCATTCTGCACAACAACGTCAAACCCAGGGGGTGTACATCTAGTCTGCAACCCCAACCCCAACCTTAACCACATCTCTCAAATAACTCTGGTCTTCTAGTTCTCCCAAATCCCCCCAGAGATACTGTCACTCACTCACCTGCCTGGTGCATGGCTCTTCAGTTTCGGATGGGATCCCCAGCATTGTGTTGGGCTTGTCTCTGTTCAGAGGCTTCTGGGACAATTCCACAGCATCCTTTTGATCCTCCTTGGCTTCTGCCTTCTCAACAATGGGATCCTGAAGGAGGTACAATTGTCCTTGGGAGTGGATTATGGACTGTGGGGGAAAGGGAACAGGATGAGACCCTGGGTAAGAGCCTGGACATACCTCCCACAGCACTATTCCTGGGCTGACAAGCAGTCCAGCCTTACTTATTTGCAAATCTGTGTTCCTGGACTTAGATTGGCCCACAAGGTCATACTCAGGTACACAGTGAACTGAGGACCAGTCTGGGCTACTTTAGACTCTGTCACAAAAAACAAGGAGTAAGGTGGGGGCTGGAAAGATGGCTCAGAGATTAAGAGCACTGACTGCTCTTCCAGAGGGCTCAGGTTCAATCCCCAGCACCCACCAGGTGGTGGCTCAGAACTGTCTGTAACTTCAATTCCTAGGGGAGCAGATGCCCTCTTCTGTCCTGCAAGAGCACCAGATACATGTCGTAGACAGGATACTCATATTGAAAAAAAAAAAAAAAAGACAAAAGGAAACAAAATAAAACACCAAAATAACAAGGCACTCTGCACTCTGACTCAAGATGAGCCTGTTAGCTTACAGTGTTTTTGATCTGCACAATTCCTTGGCTTCTAAGCCAAGTGTCTGGGCCACATTCACAAAGACAAAACAAGCCCATAAAGGTCCCCAGATATTGCCATTTATCACAGAGCAAAACTTTCCTCTTAAGAGCCACTGACTAAGGGCAGGACCCTCAGTGGGTTCTGCTTCCCGATCCCCACAGCAACAAGGCTGTCCTTTCCCTCAGCCCACAGCTGAGGCCCTGCTTACCCAATGTTGTGGTTTCCCGCCATCCCTCAGCATCTTCTCTAACTCTTTGCAGCTCTTCACTCCACTCTCCTTCACTAAGGCCTGCAGTTCTGGAGGCATGGAGATCAGGAACTGCTCCAACACCAGCTGATCCAGGATCTCCTCCTTGCTATTCAGGTCTGGTCTCAGCCACTGATAGCATAACTCAGAGATCCTCTTCAGATCCTGGATGGGGTCTGACTGCTCTGAGGGGCTGAAAGCTCTGAACTTCAAGTGCCAAACCTCAGGGCTGTAGTCTTCTTTTTCTGAATTCCTGTCCTCGGGTATAGGTGATGGTGTCTGCTCTGATGGGAGGTTGTATGGAGGCAGGTTGGTAGCCATGTCTGCTGGGATTTTTTTCGTCTATGACAAGTTGGAATTCTATAAAATGACTCCTGTATCAACAGACCTACTTCTGTAGGCACAAGGATGGGCTCGGTGTTGGTCCAGAAGCCTGGGAGGCAAGAAGGAACCAGATCAGTTTAACTCTGGTGCCTCCTAAATGTCATCATGCCTCATAATGTAGCCTCCCCACACCAACACAATGGGATTGTTTAATAAAGCAGAAATTAATCCATTCTATGGATCTATGATATGGTTCAGGGGTACAGGTGTCTCCAGCCAAGCCCAATGACCCCAGCTAAATCCCCTGGACCTACACAGTGAAAGGAGAGTACCAGCTCTGACAAGCTGTCATCTGGTCTCCATGTGTGAGACCTGGCACCTACCCCATCTCCAAAGATAATTTTCAAAAAGTCAATTACTCTAGTCCAGCTGTGTATGATGGAACATCTCTAATACAAGGGAGAGGTGGAGCCTGAAGCTTGCCATAATTTTGAAACCACCCTCGAATACCAAGTCTAAAAGACGTGAGGGCTACAAGAGACTCACTCTCAGAATCAAAGAACATGAAAGAACATGGCCCACACCTTTAATCCCTATACTCCAGAGGCAGAGGCAGGAGGATCTCTGAGTTTGAGAACAGCCTGGTCTACACAGAGAAACTCTGACTCTTTTTTTTTTCCTGGAGCTAAGGACTGACCCCAGGGCCTTGTGCTTGCTAGGCAAGCGCTCTACCACTGAGCTAAATCCCCAATCTCTGAAACCCTGTCTCAAAAAACAAAAACAATGAACAAAACATGGGTATGGTGGCTCAATCCATAATGCCAGCACTGGAGATGCTAAAAGAGTATTGTTTGAAGCTAGCCTGGGCTACAGAGCAAAATTCAGTTTCAGAAAACAAAAACAAATATATAGAAATTCACTCCTCCTAGTCTTCCAGCTCCTTGTTCCTACACATGCTGGCTTTTATGAATCAATGGTTCCTGATCTCATCTCCAAATTAACCCCGATGGGATCGTTTCCACCATCTGCACATAGACGTAACAGTATTCTTTTTTGTTGTTGTTTTTTCCAGACAGGGTCTCTGTGTAGACCTGGCTGTCCTGGAACTTGCTCTGTTGACCAGGGAGGCCCCCGACTCAGAGAGATCTGCCTGCCTCCACCTCCCAAGTGCTGGGATTAAAGGTGGGAGCCACCACACCTGCAGTCCCAGGATTTGGAGGTGGAGGCAGGCAGATCTGTCAGTCCATGACCAGCCAGAGCTATGCAGTGGGACAATGTCTAAAAACAACCAACCAAAAAGCAAGAAGAAGCAGAGTTGGTTCATTTTGGGGAAAAGTCAAGGCACTTGGTATTTGAGGGCACTAATCTATAATGTTTTCAAGAAACAAAAAACATTTTTAAAATAAGAAAACCTGTGGGTTTCATGGCTCAAAAGGAAGCCTTAATTTTTTCCTTGTTACTTAACATTTGAATAAAGTAGGGCAAAGCATAGCTCAACACAGAACATAATGTGGCTTATAGTCCACTAACCCCATAGACAATCTAAACAAAGGAATGAACTAGCAAGTATGGAACCCTGGCTGCTCTTCTAGATAAGAGTTCAGTTCCCAGCTTACACATTTACGAACTCACAGAATTTCTGCTGGATGTGGTGACTCACTTCCCAGGGAGGCAGAGGCAGGCAGATCTCTGTGAGCCAGCCTGGTCTACATACTGATTTACAGATCAGCCAGGATATATAGTGAAGCTAAACTAAATACCCATACAAAATTATTAAATAAATAAACTTAGTCATTTGAAAACTTAGTACAAAAGTTTGAGAGAAAAAATAATTGAAGCTAGGTTAGTGGTGCACACCTTTAACCCACAAGTTTGAGGCCAGCCTGGTCTACAGATCAGGTTTCAGTACCTCCATAACTGCACAGAAATCCTGTTTTAACATAAAATCAAAGCAAATCAAAGAACAAGAAAAATGCGTGTAGTGGCTGGAATCTGTGAAAGATGAGGCCAACATGCTCTCTGTAGACACCTCAAATTCAGAGATCTGCATGCAACTGACTCCAGAGTGCTGGGATTAAAGTTGTGGACCACTATGCTTGGCCAAAAAAGAAAAAAAAAAGGAGAAGAAAAAGAAAAAAATTAATGACTTTAAATTTTATGTTTTTGGATGTTTTATATGCATGTTACACTCTGGACCACATCTGTGCCTAGTGCACAGGACTTGGTGGCCTTGGAGCTGTGGGCAATTGTGAGTCTTTGGGCACTAGAAATGAAATCTGAGTTCTCTAGAAGAGCAGTGGATGCTCTTAATTGCTGAGCTATGGCCACAGCACACAAAATGGTTCTTGAGAAAGGGTCTCTCTGTGGAGCTCTGGCTGGACTCCAACTCACAAAGATCTTTCTTTCTCTGTGTCCCTAGTACCTGGTCTAATTCTTTATTTTGATAATTAAAATGATAATTTGAAATAAAACACAGTTAATAGCAGGCTAGCCAGTATGGTGTATGCCGCCTGTAATCTCAGCCCTCGGGAGGCATTGACGGAAAGGTCTGAGAGTTCAAGGCCAGCTTGGAATACATAGGAAAACCAGTCCTGTCAGAGACAGAGAGACAGTGACAAAATGAGATTACAATGTTGGAGATGTAGTTCAGTTGGTAGAGTGCTTGCCTGGCATCTTGAGACCTTGGGTCATGACCTCAGCACTGCAGAAATAAAGTTAAAAACAAACAAACAAGCCCAGCGGTGGTGGCTCACGCCTTTAATCCCAGCACTCGGGAGGCAGAGGCAGTCGGATCTCTGTGAGTTCGAGGCCAGCCTGGTCTACAGAGTGAGATCCAGAAAGGTGCAAAAACTACACAAAGAAACCCTGTCACAAAAAACAGGTCACAGCTCCAAAGGCTGGGGTGGAAGGGTAAAGGTCCAGGTCAATCTGGAACTAGACCCCATTTGAAAAGAAAAATCAATAAATGAACAAATTCCAGCAGGCAACCGCTAGACCCAGCAATGAGAAGGTCAAGGGATACAGACCCGAGCTAAGTGGAATCTGCCCTTGGAGTCTGCAAAAGCATCGTGGTGATTACCAGGAGCCGGACACCGAGGAAGAAAGATGTTCAACAAAGGACACAGGAGGAGTTTAGGTACCTGGGGGTCCTTCTGTTGGTTTGCTGTGAACGCCTCACCTTGTGGCCCTGTACAGCGGGGAATTCGGCATGGCATCCTCCTGCCTCAGTTTCCTAGTGTGGCATTGCAGGTACTTCATACCCAGATAAATCGTGCAGCAGCCAATTTCTGTCCCCATCTGAACACACAGCCTCGCTAAACCCAACTTCTTCCCTGGTTCACTTACCTCTAGGTTCCTGTCTTCGTGCCTGCAGCAGCCTTGAGTCTTCTGAGATCTCTCTGTAAAGTGCCTGGAGCTCTAGGATCATGGATTTTATAACGAATCCACGGAACTGACTTCCGCTTGCTCATCTTCTCGGTGATTGGCTGGAGCCTTTAGACACCATTATAGATGTCATTTCACACATCCTGAGATTAAATTACAAGTTAACCCTGGGAATGCCACAGGGAAGGGATCAACTTATTAAACTACTCGGGTGTGGTCCTGAAGGACTGTGATAGGAGCTAGTGAGAAGATGAGGCAGGAGGATCATAAAGTCAAGGTTTGCCTGGCCTCCTGGGTTAGTGTACGGCCAGCATAGGAAATTTGGTGAGATCATGTCTCAACCTTAACATGAATCAATTAATAATTTGATTAGCCTTAGCTGGGGATGCATTTCAGACTTCAGAGAGCTTGCCTTAGCATTGTCTGTTCTAACACTGGATAAAACTGGGTGTGGCCGGGCAGCAGTGGTGGCTCACGCCTCTAATCCCAGCTCTCAGGAGGCAGAGCCAGAAGGATCTCTGTGAGTTTGATGCCAGCCTGGTCTACAGAACAAGATCCAGGACAGACATCAAAACTACACAGAGAAAGCCTGTCTCAAAAAAGCCAAAACAACAACAATAACAACAACAACCAAACCAAAAACCGGTGTGTGTGACACACAGTATAATCCCAGGGAGGAAGGTCACAAATTTAATACAGTTTTGGGCCAGCCTGTGCTACAAGACACCTTTTTTAAAAAACAAATAAGATCTTGGGACATCCAATCATGTGTCTCAGTGGCAAAGGATTTGCCAAGTATAGTGAGGTTCTGCCTAGTTCAATCTCTAAAGGATAATAGTGTAGATTTGGTGCCCGTCAACTGAAGAATGGATTAAGAAAATGTGGCACATATACACAATGGAGTACTACTCAGCAGAGAAAAACAATGACAGCATGAAATTTGAAGGCAAATGGATAGAACTAGAGAATATCATCCTGAGTGAGGTAACCCAGACTCAGAAAGACAAACATGGTATGTACTCACTCATAAGTGGATACTAGATATAAAGCAAAGAAAATCAGACTGCAACCCACAGATCCAGGGAGGCTATATAGAAGGGAGGACCCTAGGATGACTGTGGCTTATAATAAGTTTCGGTTTTACTCAATTCCTGGGCAAGCCTCAATCAAACATTTCACCATTAGGATAAGAATTTATACTGTATCAAGCTGATAATAGAAAAATAAATAAAAAAGAAAAAATAGGGTAGATCTGGGACATGATAGAGCAAGGAATAGAAGGAATATGATCAAAATATGTTGTGTGCATATGTGCAATTTGTAAAACATTAATGAAAATATGTTCAAAAATGATGAATTACTTAGATGTGGTGGCACACATCTTTAATAACAGCACTCAGAAGGCATAGAAGGGTGGATCTCTGCAAAGTGCAGACCAGCCTGGTCTACACAGCAAGTTCCATGGTATCCAGGGCTGCATAAAGAGATTCTGTCTCAGATGGGAGGTCCTGGCTCATGCTTTTAATCTCAGAACCTTGTATGCAAAGGCAGGAAGATCTCTGTAAGTTCAAGGCCAGCCTGGTCTGCAGAGAAAATTCTAGGACAGCCAGACCTATTACACAGAAAAACCCTGTCAAAACTAAACAAAACAAACATGAAGAGGCCCTCGGTCAAAAATAATAAATAAAGAATAAATATTAATAAAGTAAAACAAATGAGTAGGAATGCCAGTTCTCTGGTCATGAACTAGGTCTTCATGCTCCTGCCATCACGATAATGGACTAAACCTCTGACATTGTGAGCCAGCTCCCAATTCAATGCCTTCTTATGGTGTCTTTTCTCAGCAGTAGAACACTAAGTCACTTGCCTTTTGTTTTGTTTTGTTTTTCTCCTGTGGCTTTGTTTTACTGTAAATGTGTCTTAAAATGGTTTATTTTGGAAAAAAAATTTCTTTTAAAAATTTCATGGTATTGGGGATTTAGCTCAGTGGTAGAGTGCTTGCCTAGCAAGCACAAGGCTTTGCATTCTGTCCTCAGCTATGGAAAAATAAAAGGAAAAAGAAAAAATTTTTCATTTTATTGTCTTACTTTATTTTGTGCGTAGGATGGGGTAAGGGAAGGTGTGCCAAATGGGCATTTGGACACATGACAACTTTCAGGATCTGGTTCCCACCAAAGGAGTCCTGGGAATCCAACTCAGGTCATTGTTTGCAGCATGCTCCTTTACACACTGGGCATATAAATGGCCATAAATTTCTGTCTCTGTCTCTGTCTCTAAAAAGATTTTTCTTTATTTCATGCATATCAGTTGTTTTTTTTCCAAATATCTACCAGTAGAACTGGAGTTAAAGGTGGTTGTAAGACATCATGTGTGTGCTGAGACATAAACCAGGGTCCTCTGGAAGAACAGCCAGTGATCTTAACCTCTTGACCATTGCTCCAGCCCCAGACATAAATATTTCTAAGAACGGATTTAGAAAACCAGAGATCTGCTCCTTTGAGGATATTGAAATTTTGGAGAAACCAGAGAGGGTGTGGAGGCTCAGCACCCCTGTATTTTGTCCTATCCATCTCTTCCGTGCATCCTCTGTAATATCCTTTTGTTTTGTTTTTCAAGACATGGTTTCTCTGTGTAGCTCTGGCTGTCCTGGAACTTGCTCTGTAGACCAGGCTGGCCTTGAACTCACAGAGATCCAACTGCCTCTGTCTCCTGAGTGCTGGGATTAAAACACACCCTCCCCGCCCCCCGCCCCCCGCCCCCCCCCCCCCCCCCCCCCCGCCCCCGGACTGCTTGGCTATGATATCCATTTTAACAAGCCAGTTTGGTTTAAGGAAATGCTCAACATCTTTAGTCCTCACAGAAAAAAAACAAATCAAAACAACTCTGAGATACCACCTTACCTGTCAGAAGGGCTGTGATCAAAAACACTGACGACAGTCTATGTTGGAGAGCCTGCAGAGCAAGGGGAACACTCCTGCACTCTTGGTTGGAATGCAAACTGGTACAGCCACTGTGGAAATCAGTATGGTGGTTTCTCAGAAAATTGGGAATCGATCTACCTCAAGACCCAGCCATACCACTCTTGGGCATGTACCCAAGGAATGCTCAATCATACCACAAAGATACAAGCTCAACTATGTTCACAGCAGCATTATTCAGAATAGCCAGAACCTGGAATCAACCTAGAACTGCCCTTCAACTGAAGAATGGATCATGAAAATGTGGCACATATCCACAAAGGAGTACTACTCAGCAGAGAAAAACAATGACAGCATGAAATTTGAAAGGAAATGCTTGGAACTAGAAACTATCATCCTGAGTGAGGTAGCCCAGACTCAGAAGGACAAACATGGTATGTACTCACTCATAGGGGGATACTAGCTATAAAGCAAAGACAGTCAGACTGCAACCCACAGATCCAGGGAGGCTACATAGCAGGGGGGACCCTAGGATGACTGTGGCTTATAAGAAGTTTTGGTTTTCCCAATCACTGGGCATGCTGTAGTGAAACATTTCGCTACTGGGAAAAGAATTTGTACTGTATCAGGCTGATGAAAGGATATGGGGGCTGTACTTTCTGGATGGGAGGCTAGAAAGAGGAAGATGAATAGGAATCTCACTTCCACAACTTAAAGAAAACATAGGGCTCTGAACAGATGAAGATAGGTTTCTTCTGTATCCCAGAATCTAATCAATATTTACATGTTTTATTCAGCTCTCATTTGGCTTAAAGGGGCTTATTGGGAAATGTAATTATTTTCACTATTTTCTACAGAGAAAATTTTTTCCAGTTTCAAATAACCCTGGACTTTGAAATTAAAAACTGTTTTTTGTTAAAAAAAAAAAACCCAAAAAACAAAAACAGAAAACAACCCGTCTGTGCGTTTCCCTAATGACTTTGAGTCACTGTACAAGTTGAGATCCCAAGGAGGAAATGGTATATTTTCTAGATTAAATAGGTATAATTTTAGATAAATGGTCTTCAGAAACTTCAAAGACCTACAGAATATAGCATCTAAAATGCTTTGAAATTTAAAACCTTTCATGGCAGTGAGACACTCTGCTCTGGGTTGTATCAATTTATGTCAGAGATAATGGGCATTGAAGAAACTCCTTATGGAGTTTTATTTCACTGTGGCAAGGCTAGCCACTGGGCCAAAGAGCTGCTCTTGCCTTTGACTGCTGTGCTGACTGGACATGCAGGACACACAGGAAAAAAGACTGTTGAACTTTCCAGAAAAGGCAGGACGTTCCTAAAATATCAACTTCACAGAAGACACTACCAGACATTCTGCAGGACACAGGGGAAAGCATCTGATGAATTTTGCCAAAATTAGGCAAGAAGTCCAAAATTCCTGATTCATAGAAAATTCTCCCAGACACTCTAAATCTACAGGCTGAAGATGGATGCCCCAACATTGCAGAGAAACTTTGGGTGACTGTCCAGGCATCCAAATGTCTCTGTTCTTAGATAATATTATATCCTTCTGGGTCTCTGATGAAGTTGAAGACTTAATAACTATAGTTGCAGCTTTCTTTAGATATAATAGAAAGTAAATTATGTACAAGGTTTTGGATTCACTAAGATAGGATAGATGATGCATTATTTTCTCTGAAGTTGCTAAATACAATCGCACTGAATAATGCAAATGTAATTCTAACTTGATAATTGTTTCTGTTGTATATAATTTTAGCATGTTAAAGTTAAAGCCTTTATTTTTTATTTTTTTAATTTTCATTTCTTTATTTATTATGTATGCAGTGTTCTGCCTGTACATATTCCTGCACTGCAAGCCAGAAGAGGGCACCAGAACACATGATCAATGGTTGTGAGCCACCATGTTGTTCCTGGGAATTGAACTCAGGACCTCTGGAAGAGCTGTCAGTGTTCTTAACCTCTGAGCCATCTTTCCAGCCCCACCTTTATTTTTATTTAGACAAAAAGAAAGACATGTTGTAGAATATTATTTTAAGGTGTGTTACTTTTGTTTAAGTTGCAATTGTTTAACTGTGAAGTGGTGTTACTGTGCCGTGTAAAACACCTGATCGTCTAATAAAAAGCAAAACAGCCAATAATGAGGCAGGAGAAGGATAAATGTGGCTGGCATACAGAGAGAATATATGGAAAGAGAAATCTGGAAGAGGAGAGTTCTAGGAGCCAGAGAAGGAAGAGGACGCCAGGGGACAGACACCCAGCTACACAGCCAGCCACAGAGTAAGAGTAAGGTATACAGAAGTAAGAAAAGGAAAAAGACCAGAGGAAAAAGATAGATGTAATAAGTTAAGGAAAGTTGGCAAGAAACAAGCCAAGCAAAGGCCTGGCATTGATAATTAAGAATAAGCCCATGTGTGATTTGCTTTGGGGCTGGGTGCCCCACACAAAGAGCCAAAACAATCAAACATTTTGCTCAAATTCTTCACTCATTTGATTTGAATTTAGAGTAAACTGACTTGCTTAACATTTAAGGGCAAATTGAGTGGTTCACAATTTAAAGTACCCTCCTTAAATATGTGACTAGGGGCTGGAGAGATGGTTCAGTTGTTAAGAACACTGGCTGCTTTTGCAGAGGACCCAGGTGGGTTTGGATCCCAGCACCCACATAAGGGCTCCCAACACTTATTAACTAGAGTCACAGGACATGCAGCACACTTACCTGACCCCCTCTGGTACCAGCCACACATTGTATGCAAGCAAAGCACCCATAAATATTCTAAAAATCTGTGAGAATCCAGGAGGTAGTGTAACATTCTTTAATCTCAGGATTTGAGAGGCAGAGACCAGCCTGGTCTACAAAGCTCATCCCAGAACAGCTAAAGGCTGCTGCACAGAGAAACCCTGTCTTGAAAAATCATTTTATAAAAAATAAGGGGTTGGGGACTTAGCTCAGTGGTAGAACGCTTGCTTAGCAAGTTCAAGGCCCTGGGCTCGGTGCTCAGCTCCAAAATAATAATAATAATAGTAGTAGTAGTAGTAGTAGTAGTAGTAGTAGTAGTAGTAGTAGTAGTAATAATAATAATAATAATAATAATAATAATGTAATAATGGTAATGGGGACATACACACAACTATAAAAATGTTGTCCTTGGCCAGATACCAAGTAATTTATTGGAAAATCACATTTTACAGTTTATGAGGAGACAAACATCACTCCCATTTTGTGACTCAATATTGACAACTTGAGAATAACAGCACCAAGTAAAAACAAAATATAATGAAAGTCTTCCAAGGAGGGGCATCTCAACACTCTGAGCACAGGTAGGAATCCGGTTCCAAGTTCATGGCCAATATAGACTGCATAGATAAGTGGGACTCTTGAGTTTCAAACTAGCCTGGTCTACATAGTGGGTTTCTAGGACAGATAGTGACACATAGTGAGATCCTGTCTCAAACACACACACAAACACACACACACACACACACACACACACCCCAGTGGGGCATAGTGAAACACAATTGTCCTCAGACCTTCAAGGGATGAGACACTCTTTTAGTGCTCCCAGGGTGTTGCCACGTAACAAGGGTAACCTAGCAACAGTATCTCCAGGAAAAGACTTCAATCTGGATATAGACTCATGAGGATGCCATTCTTGAATGCATTTTCATGTGTCGTTTCAGAGTCCCCTGCTGTCTGAAGGCCTTGTCACACTCCTTACAACTGTGAGGTCTTGAGTCGCTGTGGATCCGGAGATGGATATTGAGGTTGCCCATGTGGCTGAAGCATTTCCCATAGTGCTTACACTCGTATTGCCGGCAAGATGATGAACAGGCTCCACAGGTCGTAGGGTAGGAAGCCCTAGCTGCCCATCTTCTGTCCTGTCCACACAGGAGGCCCCTCCTTGACAAGGGGGAACCTTTTCTCCATTGGAACTAGAGAGTCTCTGAAGATCTGTGTGTGCAGCTAAATCTCTTCTTTCCAGAACGTGAGTGAACGGTGTGACAGCATCTATATTTGTATCTTCCTGGGGCATCTTCACATCCTTTCCTCTGACAGAATCTGATGGAAGGATGTCCACATACAACATTTAAAACATGAGAGTCCCTCTCAAAAATGGATTGCATTTATTTACTTGATTATGGAAGGAGGTGGGACCCTAAGAATGTGGAGGTCGGCCGGGCGGTGGTGGCGCACGCCTTTAATCCCAGCACTCGGGAGGCAGAGCCAGGCGGATCTCTGTGAGTTCGAGGCCAGCCTGGACTACCAAGTGAGTTCCAGGAAAGGCGCAAAGCTACACAGAGAAACCCTGACTCGAAAAACCAAAAAAAAAAAACAAAAAACAAAAAAAAAAAACCAAAAGAATGTGGAGGTCAAAGGACAACTTTTGGGTTGGCTCTCTGTCACCAGGAGGGTCCTGAGATGGATCACAGGCAGTCAGCTCGAGGGCCAGTGCCTTTCCCCACTTAGACACTCAACACTTATTAAAGATCATCCCAATCATACCAGACTCATTAGATCTAGATTCTGGTGTTGGCTGGGGACATCCCATCAACATCCCAAGCCTGAGAGCTCAGCCTGTAGAATGCTCTGGAAGGCTAGTGACAGAGGGGGTGAGAGTGGGTGGTCAGCTTCCTCCCACAGGGAAGGGAGTGCTGGGCAAGGGGATGTGAGTCCTCAGTAAGTTTCCACCTTGAACTCACCAGGACCCTTTGTTGCTGAGGGTCCTGAGGTATCAATAGGGAAGTCCAAGCCCTTCAGGGAGTCACTCCCTAGACTCTGCTCAGGTCTCAGGTCATCCTGTTCTCTGATCTCGGGAGCCATATAAACAAAACTTCTTTCTTTATAGGCGACAGTGAAGAATTATTGGTGTGTGTTTGTTCAGTGGAGAGGTGGAGCATAGAAACTTGTCTCTGCTTGATCTGGGCCACTCAATTTTCTCCACTGTTCCTAATTCTATGACCCACTCCACTACCCTACACAAACCAATATTCTCCTCTTATTTGTATTCTCATTGACATGGAGCCGGCATACCTCTACAGGTCATATTGGTTGCTATTTAATTCTCTATGCACGATCTTTCCTGCCCTCGACGCTACATGCAAAATGACTCTCAATTGGGCACTATAGCTGACCCATGTTCCTGGGAGCTCACAGGCTCTAGACTGTTAGCTAAGAAGCCTGCTTGGGACTGACCTAGACCCTCTGCATGTGGGTGACAGTTGTGTAGCTTGATCTGTTTATGGGGACTCTGGCAGTGGGACCAGGATCTGTCCCTGGTGCATGAGATGGCTTTTTGGAACCTATTCTCTATGTTGAGATTCTTCGCTCAACTTTGATGCAGGAGGAAGAGCATGGTCCTGCCTTGATATGCTATGCTTTGTTAACTCCCAGGGGAGCACTTACCCTTTTGAGGAGTGGCTGAGGTGGGGTAGAAAGGAGGTGGGAAGAGGGTACAGGAGGAGTAGGGAGGGGAAACTGTGGTTGGTATGTAAAAAGAAATTTAAAAATTTAGTATAAAAATGATTTGGGGTTAGTGAGGCTAGAAGAGGGATGGCTCAGAGGTTAAGAACATCGGCTGATTTGCAGAGGACCCCATGGATCCTCAGCACCCACAAGGAGGCTCTCAACCATCTGTAACCTGCACTCTACTGATGGTAGGGGGGGTCTGATGCCTATTCACTTCTGTAGGCAGCAGGCACATGTGTGGTGTCACATACACACACAAGCAAAATACAAATACCTATAAAAGTAGGAAACTTTAAAAAAATGGAAGTTGAATGATTACTTCTGATGGGAGGAGGGTCTCCTCTGCTCCATATTGTGACTTTTTTTTTTTTATTAATTTATTTTGCAATACAATTCAGTTCTACATATCAGCCACGGATTCCCTTGTTCTCCCCCCTCCCATCCCCCTCACCTTCCCCCCAACCCCCCCCCCCCATTCCCATCTCCTCCAGGGCAAAGCCTTCCCCACAGACTGAGGTCAACCTGGTAGACTCAGTCCAGGTAGGTCTAGTCCCCTCCTCCCAGGCCGAGCCAAACAATCCTGCATAGGCCCAGGTTTCAAACAGCCAACTCATGCAATGAGCACAAGATCTGGTCCCACTGCCTGGATGCCTCCCAAACAGATCAAGCCAATCAACTGTCTCATCCATTCAGAGGGCCTGATCCAGTGGGGACCCCTCAGCCATTGGTTCATAGTTCATGTGTTTCCATTCATTTGGCTATTTGTCCCTGTGCTTTATCCAACCTTGGTCTCAACAATTCTCGCTCATATAAACCCTCCTCATTCTCGCTAATTGGACTCCCAGAGATCCACCCGGGGCCTAGTCATGGATCTCTGCATCCAGATCCCTCAGTAGTTGGATGAGGTTTCTAGCACAACAATTAGGGTGTTTGGCCATCCCATCACCAGAGTAGGTCAGTTCGGGCTGTCTCTCGACCACTGCCAGCAGTCTGTTGTGTGGGTATCTTTGTGGATTTCTGTGGGCCTCTCTAGCACTTTGCTTCTTCCTATTCTCATGTGGTCTTTATTTACCATGGTCTCCTATTCCTTGTTCTCCCTCTCTGTTGTTGATCCAGCTGGGATCTCCCAGAAATGGGCTATAGAGCTAAACAGAGAATTCTCAACAGAGGAAACTCAAATGGCCGAAAGACATTTAAGGAACTGCTCACCATCCCTAATCATCAGGGAAATGCAAATCAAAACAACTCTGAGATACCACCTTACGCCTGTCAGAATGGCTAAGATCAAAAACACTGAAGACACCTTATGCTGGAGAGGATGTGGAGCTAGGGGAACTCTCCTCCACTGCTGGTGGGAATGCAAGCTTGTACAACCACTTTGGAAATCAATATGGCGCTTTCTTAGAAAATTGGGAATCAATCTCCCCCAAGATCCAGCTATACCACTCTTGGGCATATACCCAAGAAATGCTCAACCACACCATAAGAGCACTTGTTCAGTTATGTTCATATCAGCATTGTTTGTAATAGCCAGAACATGGAAACAACCCAGATGCCCTTCAACTGAAGAATGGATAAACAAAATGTGGTACATATACACAATGGAATACTACTCAGCAGAGAAAAACAATGGCATCATGAGGTTTACAGACAAATGGATGGATCTAGAAAAAATCATCCTGAGTGAGGTAACCCAGACTCAGAAAGACAAACATGGTATGTACTCACTCATAGCAAGATACTAGACATGAAACAAGGATGACTTGTCTGCTACTCACATCACCAGGGAGGCTACCTGGAAAACAGGACCCCAAGAAAGACACAGGGATCACCCAATGACAGAGAAATGGAATGAGATCTACATGAACAGCCTGGACATGAGTGGGGGTAATGAAAGGCGAGGGTTGAGGGAAAGAGAGCTTGGGGGAGCGGGAGATCCCATATTGTGACTTTTAAGTGACAGAGACTGCACACTGTGAAAACTTAGAGCAGCCAGGTGTGGCTTTGCATAACAACTTTGATCCCAGCACTCAAGATGGCAGAGACAGGTGGGTCTCTGAGTCCAAGGCCAGCCTGGTAAGTTCCAGGACAGTCGGAACTATGTGGAGAGACTGTCTCTTAAATGGAAAAATATAGGTTTACATTTCAAGCCACCTGATCCATGTAGGTTAACAGGGCTAAAACACCTCTAGTGGATGTGGTCCCACTCCATTAATTTCAGCATTTGGAAGGTAAAGGCAGGATTATCACAAGTTCAAGACCAACCTCCCCCACGTGGCTAATTGAAGACCAGCCTGAGTTACTGGGCACTCTGCTTGGAACAAAACAAAACCTCAAGCATCACCCCAGAAGTCAGACTGCCCTAGGAGGAGACCAGTCCTTCAAACTTTAGAGGGCCTGGGAATCAAACTCACATCATCAGGCTGGGCAGCAAGTGCCTTAACCACTGAGCCATTTCTTCAGCACATTCTCCACTCTGAAGTTATTATTGATTGTCAATGTTTTGGTGCCCAAGGAAACAAGATATCTTAGATCCCCTAGAGCTGGAGTTAAAGTCAACTGTGACCTGCCTGGAGAGGGTGCTGGGACTCAAACACTGGTCCTCAGAGGAGCAGCAAGTGTTCCTAAGAGCTGAGCCATCTCTCTAGTCCTCTCCACACTCTTCATGATGAGTTTTAGTGGGAGAGATATGGGATGGTGAGCCTTTTTTCTCCAGCATCCCAGCATGTGATGCATCTCTGGCCAAAGGGTCTGAACCCAACCCTTACCAAATCTCCCATCTCTCCTCAGAGATAGTGTTAAACACTTACCTGATGGCAGACAGCTCAGTCCCTGGCAGGCTCTGTGGCTCTGGCTAGCCTGGCCACTGCTAGAATCTCCTCTGACAAGACTGCCACAAAATCATCCCAGACATCTGCCTTGGCTTTGGCCATTTCAAAACCAGAACCCCGTAGGAGGAATGTCTGTCCATGGGAGATTATGGACTGTGGGCATAAGGGAACAGGTGAGACCCCAGGAAAGACACTAGAGGTAGCTGTCAAAACTCCCCATCTCCAACCTGACATTCTATGAGATAATGACAAAGCATAGCATATTAAATTGTAGTAAGACTGGGCACCTCCCCATGTATTACCTTTCAACAAAGGGACCCAGTATGAGGAATAGGGGCTCAAACACCGGGAAAGGAGTCAGAGACAGCCCCTGCTCCTACTGCTAGCTGTCCACCTAGAAGACCAAACTACACTAATATCACACAAATGCAGAGAGCCTAGGTCAGTCCCATGCAGCCTGAAGCCAAAAGGACTGAGAAAACACATGTCAATGTAGTGATGTCTAATGACAATCTGCTGGAATCATAGATTAATACCTATTCCAAGTGTCATCATAGAGGTTTTCTCCATACTCAATGCTAAGCTTTTTTAATTTTTTTTAAATGTAGACTCTTTTTTTATTAATTTTATTTATTAAGTATACAGTATTCTGCCTGCATGTATGCCTGCAGGACAGAAGAGGGAGCAAGATCTCATTACCGAATTGAACCCAGGACCTCTGGAAGAACAGTCAGTGCTCTTCATCTCTGAGCCATCTCTCCAGCCCCAATGCTAAGCTGTAAAACAGACAGGTAGGTGGGACTTCATTCTGCAGACAATGTCAAAGCATGGGATGTCCATCTGTTGCTGGTATGTTCAACCCAAACCCTTACCAGATCGCTCAAAACTCCCAACTTCTAGTTGTTTCTCCCAACTCACCCCAGAAATAGTGTCACAGGCTCAACTGGCTGCTGGATGGCTCTTCAGTCTCTGCCAGGTTCTGGCCTGGCCTCTGTTATTTTTTTCGTTGTTGTTTCTTTGTTTATTTTGTTTTTTAAGAAAGGGTTTCTCTGGGAAGAGTCCTGGCTGTCTTTGAACTCACTCTGTAGACAAAGCTGACCTCGAACTGACAGAGATCCACCTGCCTCTGCCTACTGGGTGTTGGAATTAAAGGCATGGGCCACCACAGACTGGATGGCCTGGCTTCTGTTGAGAGGCTCCTCTCTCTCATTTCAGGGGTGCTCCTGGGACAATTCCACATCATCCCATTCATCCTCTGTGGCTTCAGCCTTACGACTTGAATCCCGAAGGAGATATAGTTGTCCGTGGGAGTGGATTATGGACTGTGGGGGAAAGGGAACAGGATGAGACCCTGGCTAAGACCCTGGATGTACCTCCCACAGCACTGCTCTGGGCTGATTCAGCAGCCCAGCTTGACTTATTTGCAAATCTGTCTTCCTGGACATAGATTGGCCCACAAGGTCATACTCAGGTACAGTGAACTGAGGACCAGTCTGGGCTACTTTAGACTCTGTCAGAAAAAACAAGGAGTGAGGTGGGGCCTGGAAAGATGGTTCAGAGATTAAGAGCACTGACTGCTCTTCCAGAGGGCTCAGGTTCAATCCCCAGCACCCACAAGGTGGTAGCTCAGAACTGTCTGTAACTCCAGCTCTAGGGAATCAGATGCCCTCTTCTGGCTTGCAAGAGCACCAGACACAGATTCAAGAAAAAAAAAAGACAAAAGGAAACAAAAATATAAAACCAAAATAACAAGGCACTCTGACTCAAGATGAGCCTGTTAGCTTACACTGTTTCTGATCTGCACAATTCCTTTGCTTCTAAGCAAAGTGTCTGGGCCACATTCACAAAGACAAAACAAGCCCATAAAGGTCCCCAGACATTGCCATTTATCTCTTGGGAAGCAAAATTCTCCTCTTAAGAGCCACTGACTAAGGGCAGGACCCTCAGTGGGTTCTGCTTCCCGATCCCCACAGCAACAAGGCTGTCCTTTCCCTCAGCCCACAGCTGAGGCTCTGCTTACCCAATGTTGTGGTTTCCCGCCATCCCTCAGCATCTTCTCTAACTCTGTGCAGCTCTTCACTCCGCTCTCCTTCACTAAGGCCTGCAGTTCTGGAGGCATGGAGATCAGGAACTGCTCCAACACCAGCTGATCCAGGATCTCCTCCTTGCTATTCAGGTCTGGTCTCAGCCACTGATAGCATAGTTCAGAGATCCTCTTCAGATCCTGGATGGGGTCCGACTGCTCTGAGGGGCTGAAAGTTCTGAACTTCAAGTGCCAAACCTCAGGGTTGTAGTCTTCTTTTTCTGAATTCCTGTCCTGGGATGTAGGTGATGGTGTCTGCTCTGATGGGAGGTTGTCTGGTGGCAGGTTGGTAGCCATGTCTGCTGGGAATATTCCCTTGGTCTCTGTCAAGTTGGAATTATATAAAATGACTCTAGTCTCAACAGACCTACTCCTTTATCCACAGGGATGGGCTTGGTGTTGGTCCAGAAGCCTGGGAGGCAAGGAGGAACCAGATCAGTTTAACTCTGCTGCCTCCCTAATTGTCAAAATTCCTTATAATATACCCTCTCTATAAACACACTGGGACTGTTTAGTAAAGCAGAAATTAATGCATTCTATGGATCTGTAAGATGGCTCAGGGGTACAGGTGTCTCCAGTCAAGTCCAATGACCCCAGCTATATCCCCTGGACCTACACAGTGGAAGGAGAGTACCAGCTCTGACAAGCTGTCATCTGGTCTCCTTGTGTGAGACCTGGCACCAACCCCATTCCCAAGACAGTTGAAAAAAAGGGCTGGAGAGATGGCTTAGAGGTTAAGAGCACTAGCTGTTCTTCCAGAGGTCCTGAGTTCAATTCCCAGCAACCACATGGTGGCTCACAGCCATCTGTAATGAGATCTGGTGCCCTCTTCTAGCCTGTAGGCATATATGCAGGCAGAACACTGTAGACATAATAAATTAAAAAAAAAAGGAGAGAGAGAGAAACTCTGCGGGGCAGTGGTGGCCCACGCCTTTAATCCCAGCACTCAGGAGTCAGACGCAGGTGGATCTTTGTGAGTTCAAGGCCAGCCTGGTCTACAGAGTGAGTTCCAGGAAAAGCACAAAGCTACACAGAGAAACCATGTCTCGAAAAACCAAAAAAAAAAAAAAAAGAATTACTCTAGTCCAGCTGTGTATGATGGAACATCTGTAATGCCAGCCAAGGGAGAGGTGGAGCCTGATGCTTGCCATAGTTTTAAAACCACTGTAGGCTACATATATAAATACCAAGTCTAAAAACGTTGAGGGCTACAAGAGACTCTCAAAATCAAAGAACATGCTGGGCAGTGGTGGCACACACCTTTAGTCCCTATTATGGAGGCAGAGGCAGGAGGATCTCTGAGGACAGCCTGATCTACATAGAGATACCTGTCTCAAAAAACAAAAACAAAGAACAAAACATATGGGTAAGGTGGCTCAACCCATAATCCCAGCACTGGAGATGCTAAAAGAGAAGGGTTGTTTGGAGCTAGCCTGGGCTACAGAGCAAAGTTCAGTTTCAGAACACAAAAACAAATGTATAGAAATTCACTCCTCCTAGTCTTCCAACTCTGTGTTCCTATACATGCTGGCTTTAAAGAATCAATGGTTCCTGATCTCATCTCCAAATGAGCACACATGGGATCATTTCCACCATGTGCACACAGAAGTAACAGTATTCTTTTTTTTGTTGTTTTTCTTTCTGTCAGGGTCTCTCTGTTTAACCCTGGCTGTCCTAGAACTTGCTCCCTAGACCAGGCTGGCTGGAACTCACAGAGATCTGCCTGCCTCCACCTCCAAGCGCTGGGATTAAAGGTGTGAGCCATGAACCACACCTTCCGTCCCAGGATTCTGGAGGCAGAGGAATGCAGTTCTGTCAGTCCCAGAGCAGCCAGAGCTATGCAGTGAGACCCTACCTAAAAAAAAAAAAACAAACAAACAAAAATCAGGGGAGAGGAAGAGGTGGTTAGGAACTCTGGCTGCTGTTTTAGATAAGAGTTCATTTCCTAGTTTACATCTTACAAACACACAGAATTTCTGCTGGGTGTGGTGATGCACACCTTTAATCTTAGGAAGACAAAACAGTCAAATCTGTGTGACCCAGCCTGGTCTACATCGTGAGTTCCAGATCAGTCAGGATATAGTGAGGCTATCTCTCTCTCAAAAAAAAACAAAAAAATCAAAAAAACCACAAACTGGAAAACAACAAAAACAACCAACCCAAAAAACCCAAACACAATTATTACACAAATGTATTAAATTAAAAACTTATTAATGTTTATCATTTATATGCTAATAAATTTTTAATTATAAGTCAGGTCTAAGTGACTTTATTACTTAAAATAGTCATTAGAAAATCAATATAAAAGGTTGAGAGAAAAAAATGTTTGTAGCCAGTTTTGTGGTGCACACCTTTAATCCCAGTTTGAGGCCAGCCTGGTCTACAGATCCAGTTGCAGGACAGCCAGAGCTACACAAAGTAACCCTGTCTCAAAACAAAACAAAACAAATCAAGAAACAAAAAAATATGGGTAGTGACTGGATACTGTGAAAGATGACCAGAGACCTGGCTGGTGTTGAATTCAGAGATCTGCACACATCTGACTCCACTATGCTTGGCCAAAAGAAAATAGAAAATAATTAAAACTTTAAATTTTCTGTGTTTGGATGTTTTATGTGATTGTTTGTCTCTGGATCACATTTGAGCCTAGAGCACAGGACTTGCAGGCCTTGGAGATGTACGTGATTGTGAGTCTCTGTGGGCACTAGAAATGAAATCTGGGTTCTCTAGAAGATCAGTGGGTGCTCCTAACTGCTGTGCAGCACACAGAATGGTTCTTGAGTCAGGGTCTCTCTGTGGAGCTCTGGCTGGACTCCAACTCACAGAGATCTGCCTTTCTGTGTGTTTCTAGTACCTGGTCTAATTCTTTATTTTAATAATTAAAAAGATAATTTAAAAATAAAAACAGTTAATAGCAGACTGGGCAGTATGTTGAATATGCCTGTAATCCCAGCACTCTGGGGGCAGAGACAGAAAGGTCGGAGTTCTAGGCCAGCTTGGGCTACATAGGAAGACAGAGAGACAGAGACAAAAAGAGATTGCAAGGTTGGAGATGTAGTTCAGTTGGTAGAGTGCTTGCCTGGCATCTTTGAGACCTTGGGTCATGTCCTCAGCACTGCAGAAATAAAGTTAAAAACAAACATCATCCCCCAACCCCTGCAATGGTGTTAAAAAAACCCTACTACTTTAATGTGTCTGGAGTTGGAACATTAACAGAGAACTATTTTCATCATTGATTTAAATGTGTTCCATAGTGGTTTGGATTTTGTTTTTCTTTTTGGTTTTGACACAGGATAGGGCTGTGCATCCCAAACTGACTTGAAACTCATTCCGTTGTCCGGGTTGACCTTTGAACTCTTAGCACTATCTGCTTTCATGTCTCCTGAGAACTGGGATTACAGGTAAGCGTGCCCGTATCCCTCCACAATGGATTTTTGTGTTCTTGGTTCCCACGGCTTGGTATAATTGTGTTAATTAAGAATAACTGCTGATGCCGGGACGTGGTGGCACACGCCTTTAATCCCAGCACTCGGGAGGCAGAGGCAGGCAGATCTCTGTGAGTTCGAGGCCAGCCTGGTCTACAGTGAGTTCCAGGAAAGGCTTCAAAAGCTACAGAGAAACCCTGTCTCAGAAAAAAAAAAGAAACAAAACAACAACAAAAAAAGGAATAACTGTGGAACCAGGGCGGTGTTGGCACATGCCTTTAATCCCAGTACTTGGAAGGCAGAGACAGAACAATCTCTTGAGAGTTTGAGGCCAGCATGGTGTACAGAGTGAGTTCCAGGACAGCCAGGGCTACACAGAGAACTCTGTCTGGTAAAACCATAAACAAACAAACAAATTCCAGCATGGAACCGTGTGACCCAACAATAGTGTCAAGAGATGCAGATTGGAGCAAGGTGGAATCCAGGCTTGGAATCTGCAAAGCATCATGGTGATTAGCAGGATTCAGGCACAAGAGAGAAAGGACATCAAAGGACACAGCAGAAGTTCAATGTACCTGGGGGTACTTCTGTTTGTTTGCTGTGAACTCCTCACCTTGCCGCCCTGAGTAGCAGCAGGGAACTCCTGCTCTGTATAGCATGGCATCCTCCTGCCTCATCTCTGTAGTGCAGAGTTGCAGGTACTTCATGCTCAGCTACATCTTGCAGCAGCTTCTTTTCTGCATATGAACACACAGCCTTGCTAACCCACCATCCTCCCTGGTTCACGTACCTTCCAGGTCCTGTCTTTGTGCCTGCATCAGCCTTGACTCTTCTGAGATCTCTGTGTAAAGTGACCGGAGCTCTAGGATCATGGCTTTTATATGGATCCAAGGGACTGTCATCCAGTTGCTAATTTTCACAGTGATTGCCTGGAGCTTTGGACACCATTATAGATGTCATTTCAGACATCCTGAGATTATAAATTAACCCTGGAACTGCCACAGGGAAGGGATGACCTTATTAAACTACTCGGGTGTGGTCCTGTATGTAGGCTTGTGATACCAGCTAGTGAGAAGGTGAGGCAGGAGGATCCTCAAGTCAAGGTCATCTTAGAAAATTTGGTGAGATCATGTCTCAAACTTAAAAAAATGAATAGTTTTATCAGGCTCTGCTGGAGATTCAGCTCAGTCATCACAGTGCTTGCCTTATCGTTGCAGTAGGCTGAGGGTCTGTTCCTAGCAATGTAGAAAACCTGGTGTGTGGACACACACTGTAATCTCTGGTAGGAAGTTCAGAAGTTTAAGGCCGCTTGGGGCCAGCCTGTGTGTGCTACAAGAGACCCTTTCTAAATAAACAAATAGTTAAGACCTTGGGACAATCAAGGATGTGTCTCAGTGGCAAAGCATTTTCCAGGTGTAGTGAGGCCCCACTTAGTTCAATCTCTAAAGGCTAATAGATCTGGGACATGATAGGGCTAGGAATATGATCAAAATATGTTGTGTGCATGTGTGCAATTTGTAAAACAATTAAATTTTTTTAAAATAGCCGGGCGGTGGTGGCGCACGCCTTTAATCCCAGCACTCGGGAGGCAGAGGCAGGAGGATCTCTGTGAGTTCGAGGCCAGTCTGGTCTACAAAGTGAGTTCCAGGAAAGGCTCAAAACTACAGAGAAACCCTGTCTCGAAAAACCAAAAAAAAAAATTTTTTTTAAAGTAATAACTAAATTATTTAGGTGTGGTGGTACACATCTTTTTTTTTTTTTTTTTTTTTTTTTTTTTTTTTTTTTTGGTTTTTCGAGACAGGGTTTCTCTGTGTAGCTTTGCGCCTTTCCTGGAACTCACTTGGTAGCCCAGGCTGGCCTCGAACTCACAGA